TAAAAAATTATAGTGTCCAAAGAGGGGCAACTGAACTGTTTAACTTAATAAGCAAAGTTTAATATGTTATATATATTGGACTAGGCATCAGGATAAGAAAATGGCTTACACTATATACTTACTTACAGAGACTAAGAGACTAGCTGTGATGGAGCTAGGAACAGCCAGTTAAACACAATGGAATAAAAATTATAAAAAAGGAAATTTCTTGTAATCCAAAAAATATTCCTGGCAAAAGGAATGCTTCTATGCTGCACATATAGCAGCCAGTGTTTTTGGAATAATGGCAAGTACAGCCAGCTCCCCATATCCATGGGTTCCACATCTGCAGGTTCAACTAACTGAGGTTCAAACACAGTTGGCGGGAAAAAGGATGGTTGCTTCTGTTTTCAAAATGTAAGACTTTTTTCCTTGTTATTATTCCCTAAACAATGCATTATAACAACTATTCACATAGAGTTTACAGTTTATCAGCCATTATAAGTAATTTAGTTGATTAAAAGTCTACAGAAGGATGTGTATAGAATATATATATGCAAATATTATGCCATCCTATGAAATGGTGTAGTATTTGCACATATCCTATGCAAGCCTCCTATATACTCTAAATCATCTCTAGATTACTTACCATACCTAGTTCAATGAAAATACTATGTAAATAGTTGTTATGTTGGATTTTTGACTTTGTATTACTTTTCATTGTTGTATAGTTACTTTTTTCATTTATATTTTTGATTCATGGTTAGTTAAAACTGCAGATGTGGAACCCACAGGAATGCAGAACCCACAGATATGGAGAGCCCATTGTACTTGGAATGAATAGAGGAGAGGGTGTACTGAAGGCAGGTGAAGTTGGAAATGGCAATGGGTGTCATTTTGTGAAAGGACTCCTCACATGCCATGTTTGAGAGTTTGGGTTTGATCCAGAGGCAATGTGGCGTCACTGGAGAGCTTTTCGCTAGAGAGCAGATTCATTTCTGGAAGGCCACTCCAGTAGCAGCGTAGAGGATGGGCTGGAGGGATCCAAGACTGGAAATGGGAGACAAGGTAAAAGGCAGTGCTAAGCTGAGGGGTGAGGGGATCCTGAAAGAATGCAGTGGCTTTGGGGAGTGGAGAAGACTAAGTACACAACATAGAGTTAGGGGAAAGAAAAGGGAGATAGTGAAGACAACTCAAGATTTTTGCTTGGGTGGACCACAGCTCTAATGACCTAAAGAAGAGTGTAGAATGCTGGTAGGGAAAATGGTGATCCTTCAGCTTTAGAAATGTTGAATTTGAGGTGCCTGTAGAGTCTTGGTGAAAATTTCAGGATATATCTATACATAAAGGACCAGAGTTTAGGAGACATGGCAAGGAGGGAGACATATCTTGAGGCTATTAATAGCAAAGCTCTGGATGTGGAGAAGACACTTCAGGGAGAGTATGTGGACAGGATAAAGGGCCAAAGACAAACATGTGCAGAAGAACATTTCAGAGGTACTTAGATGAAGAGATCTTCATATGGAGACTTTCCTTTCACATGGAAAGGGGAAAAACTGGGAAAGGAAATCAAAGAAACTAAGACAGAGACAGTTTCAAAAGCAGTGGAGTGGATAACAGGGTAAAATGCTACAGAAGTTTAACAAGATGAAGATTAAACATTGTGCATTGGATTTAGCAATCAGGAGGTCGATGTCATCTAATAAAACTACATAACAAGGTAACAGTGTAAGATAAATCACAATGTGCTTGATACATATTAATGGTAAGGTTCAATAAATATGAGAACATATATTAATATGATTAGAGCTACCTGAAAGAGGAATGAACCAGTGAATTACTCACAATGGGAAGTGTTCAAGCAGAGATTGACCACCTGTTACAGGTGCTGTCAAGAGAGGTTTCCTGCATTTGGCAAGAAGTTGATTATATGTCCTTGAAAATATTTTATAACTCTGAAAGTTTATGAAATATGAATAACTTTTCCTAATGTAGAAATCAGGAAAAGAAAATCAAAAATGTTGAGTCATTAGTACTCTCCCAAGAGATCAAAATAAAATATGTGAATGATAATGTGAATGATATCATAAGAATGAATATACCTCTAGGAAAACATCTATTAGATCTTAGATCCAACACAGAAAAAGAGAGATATGATTTTCAGGGGTCTATGAATAATGCAGAATTCATTTCAAATGATAACTTTCAATCATCTTCAAGAAAATATGCATTATTTTTGCTCTTTTCAGGAAAAGATATTGAAGTACTGGGCACTCTGTTTTGTTATGTTCACTTACTGTTTTCAGTGTTCCACTTAACATTCTCATTACTGGCTGCTAAACAACAGTAACTCTTTCTCTAATATATATATTAGAGAAATATATAGGGTTAGGGTTATATATATATTTAACCCTGTATATATTTACATATATGTTAAATATATAACAGATAATATATGTATATATGTTAGCAAAAACAGACTTATCAACTTAATACTTACATGTGAAATTCAAGGTCTAATTCTACTCTATTTTTTCAGATAGAATAAAGAGAAAAGAAAAGAGATGAATGAAGAGCACATAGAAAAGTCCTTGTAGTAGGAATTCTGGAAGACCATTTAGGAAGCTGCCTCTGCTGTTCATGCATCAGTTGGTTCCCATAGATGACATATCTAGGGGAAGAAGGCTGCCTAACGATTAAAGCCCACCTTAACTTTCATTACAAGGATGTGAATGTTTGCAATTCCCTAAATATAATAGTAAGAGGTTCTGGCATCATTTTCCTAAGCCTATAGGAAGAATATATAAGTAGCTTTTTAATCAGCTCATCTTTTTTTCTCATCACTTTTTCTCTCATCTCTATCAAAAGACTATGCAGTTCCAAGGTGTGCAGGACTTTCCATAAACACCATGGCTCCCTTGCCAAAGAAAATAAGGCAGCTCAATTTTAAGAAAATAGATGACTCGAACTCAAGAAAATATAAAAAGTGACTCGAACTCAAATCCAGTCAATCACGTAAGTGCTGTTTCTCCCCTACATGCTTACAGATGCATTTCTGAAAATCATAGACAATTTCCTACATAGTTATACAGCTATTATCATGCCTAACAAAATTGTCAGCAATTCCTTCACACCATCTAATAACCAGTTCATATTCAAAATTTCCTGTTTCAAAAATTACTTTTTACGGTTGGGTTGTTCAAATCGGGATTCCAACTGGGTCCCTATGCTGCATTTGGTTATTATGCCTCTCCAGTCTCTTTGAGCCTAACTCCCTCCTTTATTTTTCTTCATGTCATTAAGCTGTTGAAGAAACCAAGTCAGCTGTCCTATATAATTTCCCACATTCTAAATTTGTCTTGTTGCTTCTTTACAGTGTTACCAGAAGGTCATTCAAATGTGGATGATTTTGGTACGGGTACAAGTTCCTTTATGTCTCTGGTTTTCAGGAACTTGTGAATTTTACAACTTTCTATTCTGATGCTTCCTTTCCAGACGGTGGTGGAAGCCAGGTCTGGATTCCCTGCAGCAGCATTTCCCAAGCTTGCCTGTGGACCCCTTCATATCTCACCTGGGCTACTGCAACAGTCTCTGAATTCGTCTCATTTATTCTTTTCTTGTCCACTCACTCCTCACCACCAGCCCTGTCATATTCCTCTTTTCTCATGACATCCAGATAATCTTTAAAAAAGGGAACTCAGACTCTTGTTTTATTAAAACCTCTCTAATGACTACACTTGAAATAAAAGCTAAATGTCTTACCCTGATCTACCTGAATCCCACCTAATCTATTCTCTGCCCCACCTCTCCAACCACTTTACCTGCTGCACTTCTCACCTGGTTTAATACATCTTCTTTTGGCTGTTCAAACACATAGAATTCTTTTCACCTTTAAGCTTTTGCAGTTGTTTATTTATTTTGCCTAGATGCCCTTCCATCACATGTTTGCATGGCTTGCTGTTTATCATCATTCAAGTCTCAGCTTACAGATAACCTTAAAATCCCCTACCCAGACCACCCAAACCAAACAAGCCATCTCCACTCCCATTTAAGCATTTTAGCCTTTTTTTTCAATATAGTACTTGCCACATCTATAATTGTCTATTTATTTGTATACTAGGTTATGTCATGAACCGATTTTATTGTTTTCATAAGAATTCTTACTACCTGATGTTTCCTATGTATTAATTTGCTTGTTAATTACCTTTCAATTTCCATTTGAATGTAAGCACCATGCGTGACCTTTCTTATCTAGGCACAGTGCCTAGAACTAGGCACTATTACTGAACATAGTATTGTTCAGTACATCTTACTGAATAACATGATACCCAAAATTAACTAGATTGCTCATATATAGCACAGATTTCTACCTGTAATCTCTAGGGGACTTTTACATTAGGTTAAAAACTGCTATAACATATATACTATAACAAGATCTAAGATGACATTATACTTTATATTTCTTAATAATCAGAATTAAATAATGTTTATGCTTTCTAATAATATGTTTTAGAAAAAAAATTCTCTGCCTTTGTAACCATCTTATTTCTTATATATAGCAAATAATCCAACAACATCAACAACAAAATGACTTATTTTCCCATTGCCTGAAAGCTAATATGCCCTCATTATTTTATAAAAAGAGAAAACTGTATCCATTATTATACATTCACTTAATTGATTTTTCACATGCAGGCACAGTTGAATATTTGCAGTACAATCATTATTAAATTTATATATCAAGATAGAGGTCATAATTTATTCAATATTATCCCTAGTAATTATTATTGAGCATTTTAATTTTCAATACTTAAAGGCGAGTGTATTCCCTGTGAATCCAACAAAAGAATTTTTCCTACTCACTAATGGAGTAAATTATCATAATGGACTCTGTGAATTAAGCTAATGACTTGTTTCTAAGTCTGCAGCACAAAAACCAATGAAATATAACAGATTAGAAAATTACCACCTTCGTCACTGTTGACTGACAAAATCACAAGCACAATTCTGCAATCACTTACTTCCATTAGTAATTTGAATCCTTCTCTTTTCTTGATTTCATCTACTAGGTACCTAAAATTAAAAGACATGATAATATTTACAATCTAAATATGTAATCTAAAATGCCACGAACATGATTAATGTATGACAAAACTATTATTTCTGATGCAGAGACAGGGCTTAGAAATAAGAAAGCCATAGATAAGGGTTCAGGTAAAGGCAGACTCCGACAGATGCTCCTGATTTACTGCAGTCCCATGGGTCTGAGCAAAAGATGTATCTTTTTGATGAGATGGTGTCTGTCTCACATGTTAGCATCCAACTTTCACCTCAGTGTGTAAAGCCAAATAAAGAAGATTGGATATATGACTCTGAACATGTGGGTTTCACGTCCATATTCATGAATGATGATTTAGCTTAGATACTTAGATTACCTAGCTGGCTTGGAGGAAAGAGCTTTTGGTGTGTAATCCTGCTTGGAAGTTCATTTAAGATCAAGAAAGATCAACAGTATCTTTTCTATGGTTAGTACACAGAGAGAAGGACTGATAATCAGTATAATGTTCCAAGTGGGCTGTTCCAAGTTCAGAATATCTATAAAGTCATCAAAAAATGGGCAAAGGACATGAACAGAAACTTCTCAAAAGAAGACAGAATAATGGCCAACAAACATATGAAAAAATGTTCAACATCTCTAATCATCAGGGAAATGCAAATCAAAACCACAATGAAATATCACTTAAGTCCAGTGAGAATGGCCTTTTCAAAAAGTCCCAAACAAAAATGCTGGCGTGGATGTGGAGAGAGAGGAACCCTCCTACACTGCTGGTGGGACTGCAAACTAGTTCAACCTCTGTGGAAAGCAATATGGAGATACCTCAAAGCGATACAAGTAGATCTACCATTTGATCCAGCAATTCCACTACTGGGCATCTACCCAAAAAATCAAAATTCACTTTATGAAAAAGACACCTGCACTCGAATGTTTATAGCAACACAATTCACAATTGCAAAGCTGTGGAAAACAACGCAAGTGTCCATCAATTCATGAGTGGATCATAAATGTGGTATGTGATACCATGGAGTATACTCAGCTTTAAGAAACAATGGTGATATAGCACCTCTTGTATATTCCTGGATAGAGCTGGAACCCATTCTACTAAGTGAAGTATCTCAAGAATGGAAAAACAAGCACCACATGTACTCACCAGCAAATTGTTATTAACGGATCAACACCTAATGGACATATAGGAGTAACATTTATTGGGTGTCGGGAGGGTGGAAGGGGGGAGGAGGGGATGGGTATATACAACCACAACAAGTAAGATGTGCAACGTTTGGGGAATGGACACGCTTGAAACTCTTACTTGAGGTGGGAGGGAGGCATGGGCAATATATGTAACCTTAACACTTGTACCCCCATAATACGCTACAATAAAAATAATAAAAAAAGAATATCTATAAAGTCATATCCAATGTCAGGGGAAAGAGAATTATCACATAAGTGAAGGGCTCAGACCATGAAATATGAAACATGATTGAGAAAAGACTAAAATAACATTGAAAATGTAGTACTTTAAATACTAATATCATTAACTCCTATCTTCTCAGCTTGGTTTTAGTCTACATAAAAAGAGAAGTCTGAAATGATTGGCCTTGAAAACTAGTCATTTAATCATTACCCTTAAAATGTTCACAATACTTGACCCAGTATTTCAAATTTGGGTGTCAAATGTTAGGAAATGATAAGAGGGGCTGACAGAAATGTGTTTGCCAGAGCAATTATTGTGATTTTATATGTAATATATTTTAAAAAATAGAAACAGAGAAGATACATCACATCCAGCATAAGGACTGCATTTGAAAATTATATTCTAGTCATGGAATTATAGTAGCATAATCATGTCACTAAATCATATATATTCAATTAATATTTAAAGACACACAAAAAAGGCTCCTCTTTGGCTTCAAGTCCTTTCCCCATAAAATTGGACTACTGCAATCTGCTTTTCCAATCTGAAAAGGTTGTTGTAAAAAATATTAAATAAAATCATAAACATGAAAAAATTGTAGACTACAAACTGGAAAGCAGTGGTTATTATCATTCCATCATTTGCTAAAGTCCATTCTATAATGTGAATATGGAATACACTAGTTTACAGGATGCGATTCTTTTTTCCAAATTTATTCATACAGCTTTTCACATAAGGTTAAATATTAGTGTTTGCATATAAATTATATTATCTTTGAAATATATGAAATCTTATAAAAATTCTATCAATATTAACTAGCAATATGGACCCTTTATTTTGAGCCATAATGTTGTGAACATATACACACAAGCACAAGCACATGCACACACACACACATACAAAGTATTTGATGTTCTACATACTCATCTCCCTGAATATTTTTTTCAGGAGATGCTATATAGCTATAAAGTTTTTGAACTCTTAACACACTGCCTAACTTTCAGAAAAAAAAAGAATCCCATTGCTCAATAAGCACCAGAAATGGTGCTCAAAATCACTGGTAATGAAAGAAGTGCAGATCAAAATGACAATACAGGCACACCTCGAAGACATTGCAGGTTCAGTTCCAGACAATCACAATAAAGTGAATACTGCAATCAAGCAAGTCACACAACTTTTTTGGTTTCCCAGTGCATATAAAAGTTATGTTTACACTATACTGTAGTCTATTAAGTGTGGAATAGTATTATGTCTAAAAAGAATGTACATACATTAGTAAAAAAAAAAAACTTTATTGCTAAAAAATGCTGACAATCATCTGAACCCTCAGAGAGTTGTTAATTTTTTGTTGGTGGAGGGTCTTTTCTCAAAGTTGATGGCTACTCGCTGATCAGAGTGATGGTTGCTGAAGGTGGGGGTGACTGTGGCAATGTCTTAAAATAAGACAATAATGAAGTTTGACCCACCAATTGACTCTCCTTTTCATGAAAGATCTCTCTGTAGCATATGATGCTGTTTCATAGCATTTTGCCTTTCAAATCTTGCTGCTGCTTTATCAACTGAGTTTATGTAGTATTCTAAATCCTTTTTCATTTCAACGATGTTCACAGTATATTCACCAGGAGTAGATTCCCTCTTAAGAAATCACTTTCTTCACTTATTTGTAAGAAGCAACTCCTCATCAGTTAAAGTATTATCCTGAGATGGCAGCAATTCAGTCACTCCAGGCTCCACTTCTAATTCTAGTCCTTTTGCTCTTTGTATCACATCTCCAGTGAATTCTTCCACTGAAGTCTTGAACCCCTCAAAGTCCTTCATGAAGGCTGGAATCAACTTCTTCCAAATCCTGTGAATGCTAGTATGTTAACCTCCACCCATGGATCACAAATATTCTTAACGGCATCTAGAATGGTGAATCCTTTCCAGAAGGTTTTTTAATTTACTTTGACCAGATCCATCAGGGGAATCACTATCTACAGCAGCTGTTGCCTTACAAAATATATTTCTTAAACAATAAGACTTGAAAGTCAAAATGACCTTTTGATTCATGTGCTGCAGAATGGATGGTGTATTAGTAGGAATGAAAACAAGATTAATTTTCTTACACACCTCCATCAGGACTCTTGAGTGAACAAGTGCATTGTCATTGAACAATAATATTTTGAAAGGAATCTTTTATTCTGAGCAGTAGGTCTCAACAGTGGCTTTCAAATATTCAGTAAATCATGCTGTAAACACATGTGCTGTCATCCAGGCTTTGTTGTTCCTTTTACAGAGCACAGGCAGAGTAAGTTTAGCACAAATCTTAAGGGTCTTAGAATTCTCAGAATAGAAAATGAGCAATGGCTTCAACTTAAAGTCACCAGCTGTCCTTCGATTCTTTGAAACCAGCACTTGATTTCTCCTCCCTAGCTGTGAAAGTTCCAGATGGCATCTTCTTCCCACAGAAGGCTGTTTTGTCTACATTGAAAATATGTTTAGTGTGGGCACCTTCATCAATTGTCTTAGCTAGATCTTCTGGATGACTTGTTGCAGTTTCTACATCAGCACTCGCTGCTCCACCTTGCACTGTTTTATGTTATGTTATGTTTTATGTTACGTTACGTTACGTTATGTTATGTAATTAGGCTTTGGCTTTAGATTATGTTATGGCTGGTTTGATCTTTTATTCAGATCTATAAAACTTTCTCCATGTCAGCAATGAGGCTGATATGCTTTCTTATCATTCCTGTATTCCTTGGAGTAGCATGTTGAACTTCCTTCAAGAACTTCTGCTTTGCATTTACAACTTAACTAAGTGGCACAACAGGTCTAGCTTTCGGACTATCTCAGTTTTCAACATCTCATCTTTACTAAGCTTAATCATTTCTAGCTTTTGATTTAAAGTGAGAAACATATGACTCTTCCTTTCACTTGAACACTTAGAGGCTATTATAGGGTTATTAATTGGCCTAATTTTGGTACTGGTATTTCTCAGAAAATAGACATGAAGAAGAGGGATGGGGGAATGGCTGGCTGGTGGAGCAGTCAGAATATACTCCACATTTATTGATTAAATTTGTCATCTTCTATGGGTGCAGTTTACAGAGCCCCAAAATGATAACAATAGTAACATCAAAGATCACTGATCACAAATCACCATAACAGATATAATAATAATTTTAAAAGTTGGAAATGTTGTGAGAATTATCAAAATGTGACACAGAGACATGAAGTGAACAAATGCGCTTAGAAAAATGGCACCGATAGGCTTGCTTCATGCAGGGTTGCCACAAACCTACAGTTTGTAAAAAAAAAATACAGTATCTCTGAAGTGCAATAAAGTGAAGCACAATAAAATCAGGTATGCCTGTACTAAACCACATTCCCCAAACGATACTGGAAACAAATTTTAAAGAGTTACAGCATCTAGTGCTAGTGAGAATGATGTAGGAAATTGCTATAAACCTTTCAAAATTAATAATACTCATATTTTCTGGTCAAACAAACCACTTTTGAAATGCTGGTCTTCCAGAAAAAAAGTAATCAGGACTATGGATAGATAGATAGATATTACATATAAATATATAAGTATACATGCACATATATACTGTTGCACCT